GAAGGAAGGAAGGAAGGAAGGAAGGAAGGAAGGAAGGAAGGAAGGAAGGAAGAAAGGAAGAAAGAAAGAATTCTGCTAAGCTCTGTTCATCATCTTGTGTGTGGGAAGGTTATATAGTTCCTCTTCAGGGAGGCAGCTTTACACCAAGTGCCATGCAATTCATCTAACTTCTGGAAAGCCCTTTGAGTCCAAACACACAGACTGTTCCTGATGTCGTTCCATGCCTTAATTTTCTTAAGGAGCAAAACGGCCTCCTAAGTTTTCTTGTGGCCTTCAACTTTATCTTCGGCCACCAATTCGCTGGCAGCATAGGGCTGTCTGTCGTTTTTGTGCAAGTTGGTGTGAAGGAGGTTGACGAAATCTGGTCAAATGGGAGCCTTGAACACAGCTGACAAAGTGACATTTTTGCCAGGTGACCCCCCCCCCCTTTCCACAGTACACCAATATCAGTGGATGACTGCATGCCATGGCGGAGAGAGGAGAAGGCCACTCTCCTTTGAACCCGGCTGCTTCCACAGGAAAAGACCCTGGAAACTACTTGAAAATCACTGCCATGCAGGCTGACGTGTTAGGGGGCGGGGGAGCGGAAAGAGGGTGAGGGGGACGAGAGGTGGGGCAGGAGTGACACTCTCCACTCGGTTTAGCTGTGAACCCGGCACTGTTCTAAAAACGCACAGTGTATTTGAAAACATTCTATGACTAGAGCGTGGCTGGCCCTCTGCAAGAGCCCAGTGTTACTGGGAAGACTGAATACATGGCCAGGGGCTCACCCTTTGTTTCTGAGGACATTTCTGTTTTCTTTCCTTCTTTCTTTTTCTTTCTTTCCTTCTTTCTTTCTTTCTTTCTTTCTTTCTTTCTTTCTTTCCTTCCTTCCTTCCTTCCTTCCTTCTTTCTTTCTTTCCTTCCTTCCTTCCTTTACTTCCTTCCTTCTTTCTTTTTTCATTCTTTCCTTCTTTCTTTCTTTCCTTCCTTCTTTCTTTCTTTCTCTCTCTCTCTCTCTTTCTTTCCTTTTTTTTTTTTCCCTTTTCTTTGACTTCTCAAAACCTCCTGCTCACTTTTCAAGGCAGAAATCGCACTATGGATTAGGTGTGGTTTCTCGAGTCTGCTTACTTAAGTTTCCCCTCCCCCTTCACGGATGGGTGGATGGATGCGCGTACGCATGTACGTACGTATCTACTCAGTCATTTAGTTATTATTTTTTTTATTTTGGATTGGACACGTTGCAGAAGTAACCAAAGCTGTTGCCCATCTGTGTTGCAGATGCCTAGGTAGACTGTGTAGGTAGACTGTGTCCGACCTCAGGGACGGACAAACTCATATCGAGAGCGTCAACAATGTACACGTGTATGTATTAGCTTTTACCATAGGAAACTGTTTTCCCCATATGAGAAAAAAATAGCTCCCTAAACCCAAAACTGGTGTGTGGCAACATATGCTATGCTGCATTTGCTTGCTTGCTTGCTTGTTTGCTTGCTCTCTTGCTCTCTTTCTCGCTTTCTGGCATTGTCGCTTTCTGTCTCTTTCTTTCTCTCTTTCTTTCTTTCTTGCTTGCTTGCTTTCTTGCTTTCTTGTGTTCTTTCTTTCTTGCTCTCTTGCCTTCTTTCTTGCTTCTTTGTTTTCTTACTTTCTGGCTTTCTTTCTTGCTCTCTTGTTCTCTCTCTCTCTCTCTCTTTCTTTCTTGCTTTCTTGTGTTCTTTCTTTCTTGCTCTCTTGCCTTCTTTCTTGCTTCTTTGTTTTCTTACTTTCTGGCTTTCTTTCTTGCTCTCTTGTTCTCTCTCTCTCTCTCTCTTTCTTTCTTGCTTTCTTGTGTTCTTTCTTTCTTGCTCTCTTGCCTTCTTTCTTGCTTCTTTGTTTTCTTACTTTCTGGCTTTCTTTCTTGCTCTCTTGTTCTCTCTCTCTCTCTCTCTTTCTTTCTTGCTTTCTTGTGTTCTTTCTTGCTCTCTTGCTCGCTTTCTCACTTTCTTTTTTGCCTTCTATCTTGCTTTCTTGTTTGCTTGCTTTCTGGCTTTTTCTTTGGCTCTCTTGCTCTCTTTCTCTCTTTCTTTCGTTCTTGTGTTCTTTCTCGCTTGCTTTCTGGCTCTCTTTCTCACTTTCTTTCTTGCTCTCTTGCTCGCTTTCTCACTTTCTTTTTTGCCTTCTATCTTGCTTTCTTGTTTGCTTGCTTTCTGGCTTTTTCTTTGGCTCTCTTGCTCTCTTTCTCTCTTTCTTTCGTTCTTGTGTTCTTTCTCGCTTGCTTTCTGGCTCTCTTTCTCACTTTCTTTCTTGCTCTCTTGCTCGCTTTCTCACTTTCTTTTTTGCCTTCTATCTTGCTTTCTTGTTTGCTTGCTTTCTGGCTTTTTCTTTGGCTCTCTTGCTCTCTTTCTCTCTTTCTTTCGTTCTTGTGTTCTTTCTCGCTTGCTTTCTGGCTCTCTTTCTCACTTTCTTTCTTGCTCTCTTGCTCGCTTTCTCACTTTCTTTTTTGCCTTCTATCTTGCTTTCTTGTTTGCTTGCTTTCTGGCTTTTTCTTTGGCTCTCTTGCTCTCTTTCTCTCTTTCTTTCGTTCTTGTGTTCTTTCTCGCTTGCTTTCTGGCTCTCTTTCTCACTTTCTTTCTTGCTCTCTTGCTCGCTTTCTCACTTTCTTTTTTGCCTTCTATCTTGCTTTCTTGTTTGCTTGCTTTCTGGCTTTTTCTTTGGCTCTCTTGCTCTCTTTCTCTCTTTCTTTCGTTCTTGTGTTCTTTCTCGCTTGCTTTCTGGCTCTCTTTCTCACTTTCTTTCTTGCTCTCTTGCTCGCTTTCTCACTTTCTTTTTTGCCTTCTATCTTGCTTTCTTGTTTGCTTGCTTTCTGGCTTTTTCTTTGGCTCTCTTGCTCTCTTTCTCTCTTTCTTTCGTTCTTGTGTTCTTTCTCGCTTGCTTTCTGGCTCTCTTTCTCACTTTCTTTCTTGCTCTCTTGCTCGCTTTCTCACTTTCTTTTTTGCCTTCTATCTTGCTTTCTTGTTTGCTTGCTTTCTGGCTTTTTCTTTGGCTCTCTTGCTCTCTTTCTCTCTTTCTTTCGTTCTTGTGTTCTTTCTCGCTTGCTTTCTGGCTCTCTTTCTCACTTTCTTTCTTGCTCTCTTGCTCGCTTTCTCACTTTCTTTTTTGCCTTCTATCTTGCTTTCTTGTTTGCTTGCTTTCTGGCTTTTTCTTTGGCTCTCTTGCTCTCTTTCTCTCTTTCTTTCGTTCTTGTGTTCTTTCTCGCTTGCTTTCTGGCTCTCTTTCTCACTTTCTTTCTTGCTCTCTTGCTCGCTTTCTCACTTTCTTTTTTGCCTTCTATCTTGCTTTCTTGTTTGCTTGCTTTCTGGCTTTTTCTTTGGCTCTCTTGCTCTCTTTCTCTCTTTCTTTCGTTCTTGTGTTCTTTCTCGCTTGCTTTCTGGCTCTCTTTCTCACTTTCTTTCTTGCTCTCTTGCTCGCTTTCTCACTTTCTTTTTTGCCTTCTATCTTGCTTTCTTGTTTGCTTGCTTTCTGGCTTTTTCTTTGGCTCTCTTGCTCTCTTTCTCTCTTTCTTTCGTTCTTGTGTTCTTTCTCGCTTGCTTTCTGGCTCTCTTTCTCACTTTCTTTCTTGCTCTCTTGCTCGCTTTCTCACTTTCTTTTTTGCCTTCTATCTTGCTTTCTTGTTTGCTTGCTTTCTGGCTTTTTCTTTGGCTCTCTTGCTCTCTTTCTCTCTTTCTTTCGTTCTTGTGTTCTTTCTCGCTTGCTTTCTGGCTCTCTTTCTCACTTTCTTTCTTGCTCTCTTGCTCGCTTTCTCACTTTCTTTTTTGCCTTCTATCTTGCTTTCTTGTTTGCTTGCTTTCTGGCTTTTTCTTTGGCTCTCTTGCTCTCTTTCTCTCTTTCTTTCGTTCTTGTGTTCTTTCTCGCTTGCTTTCTGGCTCTCTTTCTCACTTTCTTTCTTGCTCTCTTGCTCGCTTTCTCACTTTCTTTTTTGCCTTCTATCTTGCTTTCTTGTTTGCTTGCTTTCTGGCTTTTTCTTTGGCTCTCTTGCTCTCTTTCTCTCTTTCTTTCGTTCTTGTGTTCTTTCTCGCTTGCTTTCTGGCTCTCTTTCTCACTTTCTTTCTTGCTCTCTTGCTCGCTTTCTCACTTTCTTTTTTGCCTTCTATCTTGCTTTCTTGTTTGCTTGCTTTCTGGCTTTTTCTTTGGCTCTCTTGGCCCACCCTCGGTGAGAAAGCCTTCTCAAGTGATCCGACAGGAGTGCCTTTTCGGTACCGGAACCCCCAGCCGCCACCGCTCCTCCGTGCGTAGCAGGCCACTGATGCGACCTTTGTTGGTCCGTGTGTGTGGAGGCAGAAGTCCCCAACCCCCTCATTGGAGGAAAAGGGATCCGCCGGTCCCCGCGGTGGGGGCCATGTGCTGCTCTTTGCCTACCATGGCCAACGCCTCCCCACTCTGACTCAGGGGAGGATCCCGCCAGGCTGGTCCGGCATTCATTGTGGGGTCGTGTGTGTGAGTGGGAGTGCATGTGTGGTTCCCCACAGCGCACGTTGAGGGGGCCGTCCCGTCCCGCTCCCTCCCATCCGTGAGCGGGAGCTTCTCCACCCGCTCCCGTCCTGAGCTGCTGCAGCTGGTGCCGACAGCGATGCCACGGGTTTGGGGGCCGCCTCACCCCGTGAGTGTAACAGTGGGGATGTGGTCACCCGGAAGGGGACCAGGATGGATGGGGCGAGAGAGAGTGAGTGGTGCTGTGTGGGGGGGGTTGGGGTCACGTGGGTGCCCTGGCAGTGGGGGTGAGCCCCGGGGCACGTGGTGACAGGCTCGAGGAGAAAGGGTGCTTGAAGGCTGGCTGGCGTTCCGGGCCGTTGTTGGACTGCCCTTGTGTATGGGGTGGTGGGATCCCGTGCATGTTTTCCGGTGGCTTGGCCGTGTCAGATCTTTTTCTGTCTCTCCGACTCTTCCTGGGCTTTCCTGTGCCTCTCCCACCCCCATGGATCCTTGCTGTGCACTCGATCCCACCTTCTTCCGTCCTGTCACTGGTGATCTTCCCACCCCCCTACTCCAAGCGTTCCACACCACTGTCATCCCACCAGGGATCGAGTCCAGCCACGTGCGAGGAGGCCGCTGGTGGTGAGATCCTGTGTGTGTCCTGCTGGCTGGCTGCGTTGGGAGGCATCTCCACAGGCATCCTCGCGGTGCCGTGGGCCCCTCCCACCACCCACCTTTCTGGCACCTTCCTCCTCACCGGCTCTCGCCCTCTCATTACCATCCCGTCTGGTTTCCGGGCCCAGGACCGTGGCCCCGGTGCATATCGCCTCCTGAGGGCAGTCACGGTCCCATCTCTGTGCCCTGCTGGCTGCTGGCCGTCCTTGGTGGTGTGTGGGGGCGCCCCCATCTGGCGCATCGTGTGCTCGGGTGCCGGCTGGGTAGTTTCACAGGAGTCCGGGCCGTCGTGAGACTGTGGTGCCACCTTGGCGTTTGGGTGCCACGAGCGGTGTGGTGTGGTGACCGGTCCCTGGAGTCCTCGGGCCACGTGCTCATGTGCTTCTTGCTGTTGGGGGCACCCCCGCCCCTCTGGGCCACCATGCTGCTGTGTGCCATCCTCAGCGTCTTGTGGTGGGCCCAGCGGACAGGTCGCACCCATCCCACAGGGTGGGGTGTGGGCAGTCGGGCCTGTTTGGGAATCACCCCCATGGGGGCTCGCTCCATGCTCCGTGGGGCCCGCCACATTGTGCACATGCATGCCCTGCTCTCTCGTCCCGGGTGCTTGGCCCCAACCAGGAGGGTGCGCATACCCCAGCTGGTGCGCTCTCTCGGTTCACCGTGCTCTCCTACCTGGTTGATCCTGCCAGTAGCATATGCTTGTCTCAAAGATTAAGCCATGCATGTCTAAGTATGCACGGCTGGTACAGTAAAACTGCAAGTGGCTCATTAAATCACTTATGGTTCCTTTGATCGCTCGCTCCTCTCCTATTTGGATAACTGTGGTAATTCTAGAGCTAATACATGCCGACGGGTGCTGACCCCCCTCGCGTGGGGGATGTGTGCATTTATCAGATCAAAACCAACCCGGTCAGCTTCCTCCCGGCCCTGGCTGGGGGGCGGGGGCCCGTGGCTTTGGTGACTCTAGATAACCTCAGGCTGATCACACGCCCCCCTTGGCGGCGATGACCCATTCGAACGTCTGCCCTATCAGCTTTTGATGGTAGTCGCTGTGCCTACCATGGTGAACACGGGTGATGGAGAATCAGGGTTCGATTTTGGAGAGAGAGCCTGAGAAACGGCTACCATTTCCAGGGAAGGCATCAGGTGTGCAAATTACCCACTCCCGACCCGGGGGGGTAGTGATGAAAAACAATACAGGACTCTTTTGAGGCCCTATAATTAGAATGAGTCCACTTTAAATCCTTTAACAAGGATCCATTGGAGGGCAAGTCTGGTGCCAGCAGCTGCGTTAATTCCAGCTCCAATAGCGTATATTAAAGTTGCTGCAGTTAAAAAGCTTGTAGTTTGGATCTTGGGAGTGGGCGGGCGGTCTGCTGCGAGGCGAGCCACCGCTCGTCCCTGCCCCTTGACTCTCGGTGCCCCCTCAATGCTCTTAGCTGAGTGTCCCATGGGGTCCGAAGCGTTTACTTTGAAAAAATTAGAGGAGTGTTCAAAGCAGGCCCGAGCCCCCTGAATACCGCAGCTAGGAATAATGGAATAGGACTGCGGTTCTATTTTGTTGGTTTCGGAACTGAGGCCATGATTAAGAGGGACGGCCGGGGGCATTCGTATTGCACCGCTAGAGGTGAAATTCTTGGACCGGCGCAAGACGGACCAGAGCGAAAGCATTTGCCAAGAATGTTTTCATTAATCAAGAACGAGTCGGAGGTTCAAAGACGATCGGATACCGTCGTAGTTCCGACCATAAATGATGCCGTCAGGTGATGCGGCAGCGTTATTCCCTTTATGACCACCGGGCAGCTTCCGGGAAACCAAAGTCTTTGGGTTCTGGGGAAGTATGGTGGCAAAGCTGCAACTTAAAGGTATTGATGGAAGGGCACCACCAGGAGTGGAGCCTGTGGCTTAATTTGACTCAACACAGGAAACCTCACCCAGCCTGGACATGGGTAGGATTGACAGATTGGATAGCTCTTTCTCGATTCTGTGGGTGGTGGTGCATGGCCTTTCTTAGTTGGGGCGGTTTGTCTGGTTAATTCCGATAAGGAACGAGACTCTGGCATGCTAACTAGTTACGTGACCCTTGAGCGGTCGGCGTCCCCCAACTTCTTAGAGGGACAAGTGATGTTCGGCCACCCGAGATTGTGCAATAACAGGTCTGTGATGCCCTTAGATGTCCGGGGCTGCATGCGTGCTACACTGGCTCAGCGTGTGCCTACCATATGCCAGCAGGTGCAGGTAACACATTGAACCCCATTCGTGATGGGGATCGGGGATTGCAATTATTCCCCATGAACGAGGAATTCCCAGTAAGTGTGGGTCATAGGCTTGCGTTAAGTCCCTGCCCTTTGTACACACCGCCCGTCACTACTACCGATTGGATGGTTTAGTGGGGCCCTCGGATCGGCCCTGCCAGGGTCGGCCCACGGCCCTGGCGGAGCGCTGAGACGTTCAAACTTGACTAGAGGAAGTAAAAGTTGTAACCAGGTTTCCATAGGCGAACCTGTGGAAGGATCATTAAGGAGAAGTGAGCATCGGCGCCCGAGTGATCAGAGCCGGTCGCTGCGTGCTCATCTGTGTGGCACGGGTGGGGCTGGTGCCACGCCGGGCCCCGCTGGCTGTGATAGAGGCACGTTGGAGACTTGGGAGGGGAGGAGGGAAGGTTGTGTGAGCAGGTGGGTGGTGGTGGGGCCACGGTGGTCGCCGGGCGTCTGTGGTGGTGGTAGGGGGTGGTGGTTCCTGGCGGTTATGGGGAGGTGGGTCTTGTGCCCACCTCCCTGCTGTCGGTCCATGCCCTCCCCTCTGGCCCCATCACCCATTGAAACCTCCATCACCACCGCCCATCTCCTCCTTTCCCACTTAGGGTAGTTTGAGGGCTTCCAGGGCCGGGTGTGGGGCAGCCAAGCGCCCCCCCCACCAGCCTCTGGTGAATGCCGGCCGGTCCCTTGGTCGTGACCCGTGTGGGGCACGTGTGTGTGTGTGGGGAGACTCTACACCCCACACGGCCCTTCTCACTCAGGCTGTGGCTGGGGTCGGTGCCGACTTGTGGGGGCCACTGGTGCACACCCACACCCTGTATCCCCTCAAGTCCTCATCCGCCCCCCCTCCAGGTACCTAGCGCATCCCATTGTGGAGGTTTGAAGACCCTCGGCCGCCCACCCATCTGCCTAGGGTTGGGGCGGTGGGCACATGGGGAGCATTGAGGAGGCCCTCCTGCCTTCCTCCCCTCTCCCCCAGACTCTGTCCCCAGCAGGCTGCGGCTGCGTTGCCACGCCCTTGGCATGGCGGCCATCAGGAAGTGGTTCCCAGCCGCTGTGCAGGCCTTTGTGCATGCGGGTCACGTATTCCGCACCACGTTGGGGGCCAGGAACCCCCAGGCGCCTGTGGGGTGTCTGTGCACACCCTGCCGGGGGTGATGACGCCAGACGCATGCCCCATTGGTGAAAAGCTCCTCCGACCCGTTGGAGTCTGGTCTCGTTTGCCGTTTTACTGGCCGGCCTGAGGCAACCCCCCTCCTTGGGGGGGTCTGCTGTGCGAGGGGCAGGGGCTCCTCTCCTTCTGTTAAACTAAACCTAGTACGACTTTTAGTGGTGGATCACTCAGCTCCTGCGTCGATGAAGAACGCAGCTAGCTGCGAGAATTCATGTGAATTGCAGGACGCAGATCATTGACACTTGGAACGCACTTGTGGCCTTGGGTTCCTCCCAGGGCTACGCTGTCTGAGCATTGCTGTACGATCAATTGCCACCATGGGATGCCTCTGGCCTACCCAGGGCACATGCCTGGTGGTTCGCTCGCAGGGCCCACTGGGGGCCCTCTGTCCCCCTAAGTGCAGACCTTAGCCGGCAGCACCGCCGCCGTCTGAACTCTGTCCCGTCCGTCCGTGGCACCGTGCCCTCCAGCCGGTGGTGCATCTGGGGCGTTGGTAAGGGGGTGTGGTCAGGGGACATCCCTCAGCGGACGCCGCCGTCCATCGCCACTCATGAGTGGGTGAGGGGAAGAGCCGCTATGTGCCGTCATCGCCGTTCTTGTGAACAGGCCATGGTCACTTTGGGAGCCCCTTCGTGCTGCATGAGCTCTTGGGGTTTGCCGTGGCGGTGGAGAGAGACGGACCCTTGCTGGGTCGCATACGGGTCGCCACGTTGCCCCCCAGGTGTCAGTCTCGGCCTCTGGCTGGCCCCTCCCTCGGTGGCCCTGCCTGCTGGGGTGAAGGGGGGGACCCAATCTTCCCTGCCCCATCCCCGTCAGGCAGGCTCATGCCGAGGCTGAGTCGCAGTTGCCCGTGGGGTCGTTGCCTCTGGGGGCACGCTCCGGTGGCGACCCGTGGGATGCTGTGGTGTTGTCTGCTGATGAGCGTGAACCATGAGACTGCGGCCTATGGTGCTCCCACTGGCCTGAGCCTTGTGGTGTTGGAGGTGGGGTGGAGGCGCTGTGGCCCCCGCATGGCTTCAGGGTGTCTGGGGCGTGTGGCAGTGTTGGTGTTGTGTGGAGAGGGTTTGGAGGAGGCAGGGTGTCTGGTGGAGGAGGGGCGGTTGGGGGTGACTGCTGTCCCCTCCTCTGCTCCTGCCACCTCCCCATCCCACTCCCTGGCCCCTTCCCCGTGCATCATGGCACGGCTGGGCGTTGATGCATGGCCCATCTCTTGCCGCCTTCCCCTCCCGCTGGGGCCCGGCCTCTGCCGCCGGCTTGTGCTCCATCTGGTGGTCCCACTCCTCCCTGCCTCCCTCCATCCCTCCTCTCCTTCTGGCCCTGCACCAGGCCTCGCGCACTCCCCACACCCTGACACACGCACCCTCTCGCCTGTACGGGGCAGAGGATGTGTCGTACGGCTGTGGCAGCGGCACGGGGCTGTTTTGGAGGAGTGGGAGGAGGAGGAAGGAGGGTGGGCGGTGGCGGTGGTGGCAGCTGGCAGTGCCCACCCGTGAGCAAGTGCGCAGCTTTCCTTCCCCGACACTCTTTCCCCAACCCCAGCTTCTCGCTGGCATTCCCCAAGGGTGGAGGGTGGGAAGCCGTTTGTGCCTCCTCTGCCCCCCCACCACCCTCCCCTTCTCTCCCCATCTGAGACGCAACCTCGCATCAGACGTGGCGACCCGCTGAATTGAAGCATATTAGTCAGCAGCAGAATAGAAACTAACCAGGATTCCCTCAGTAACGGCGAGTGAACAGGGAAGAGCCCAGCGCTGAATGCCCGCCCTGAGGTGGGGCATGGGAAATGTGGTGTATGGAAGACCCACTCCATGGTGCTGCTTGTGGGGGGCCCAAGTCCTTCTGATTGAGGCCCAGCCCATGGACGGTGTGAGACCATTAGCAGCCCCTAGCATGCTGGGCCCAGGTCTTCCTGGAGTCGGGTTGCTTGGGAATGCAGCCCAAAGCCGGTGGTAAGCTCCATCTAAGGCTAAATACCGGCAGGAGACCGATAGTCAAGTACCTTAAGGGAAAGTTGAAAACTTTGAAGAGATTTCAAGAGAGCATAAAACCGTTAAGAGGTAAACGGGGTGGGGTCCACGCAGTCCGCATGCAGGATTCAACATGGCGGCGGGTCCAGCTGTGCCGGCGATCCGGCGGATCTTTCCCGGCCCCCGTTCCTCCCGATCCCTCCACCCGCCCTCCCTCCCTCGTCCACTGCCCCTCCTCCCCGTATGTGGGCTCTGGTGGGTTTGGGGGTGGGGATGGTGGGGGAATGCTCCCCGGCCAGTGACCGGCCACCGCCGGGTGCATTTCCACCGCAGTAGTGTGCTGCTACCACCTCCTGGATGGCAGGGAAGGTGGCTCAGGGGGCCTTGTCCCCTCCCCTCCCTCCTTCTCTCCCTCCTCCTCCTCCACCTCCTCCTCCCAAGGTGGTGGGTAGGTGGTGTGGGGTTGGGGTTGGGGTTGGGGTTGGGGTCGGGTGGGGAGTCTGGGAGGCCCCACCCCACCCCACCCCACCCCATGAGTGTTACAGCCCCCTGGCCGCAGCTCTTGCCCAATCCTGGGGCCGAGGGTGCCAAGACCCGTCACCGTGCTCTCCCCCCTCCTAGCACGCACCCACGCAGGGGCTCCCCCATGAAGGAGTCCTCCCCTGTGTGGCATGCCATCGTCTCCGGGGGAGCTGGGCCAATCCTCCCATGGCGTGACCACTCTCCCACCACTCTGCCCCCTCTCCATCATCCCACCGTGCCCTCACGCCTGCTCTGTGGCAGTGGCAGGAGGGGGTGGTGGTGGGGTGGACTGTCCCTAGTGCACCCTAGTTGTGTCACACTGTCGTGCCCTGGATTTTTTTTGTCCAGGTGCCACCCCTCTCTGAGTCAAAGTGAGTGCATGGGGTCAGCGGTGATGTCGACTACACACCCGACCCGTCTTGAAACACGTACAAAGGAGTCTAACACGTGTGTGGGTCGTGGCCTCGCATGAAAGCCACCGTGGCGCAATGAAGGCAAAGGCTGGTGAGCTCGCCAGCTGAAGTGGGATCCCGAGGCCTCTCCAGTCCGCTGAGGATGCAATTCTGGACCATCTCACCCGCTGCACTGGGTAGGTGGAGCACGAGTGCACGTGTTAGGACCCGAAAGATGGTGAACTATGCCTGTGCAGGGCGAAGCCAGAGGAAACTCTGGTGGAGGTCCGTAGTGGTCCTGACATGCAAATCGGTCATCCAACCTGGGTATAGGGGCAAAAGACTAATCCAACCATCTAGTAGCTGGTTGCCTCCGAAGTTTCCCTCAGGATAGCTGGCGCTCTCGCACGCGGAAAGCAAGGCCTCACGCCGCTTTATCCGGTAAAGCGAATGATTAGAGGTCTTGGGGCCGAAACGATCTCAACCTATTCTCAAACTTTAAATGGGTAAGAAGCCTGGCTCGCTGGTGTGGAGCCGGGTGTGGAATGCGAGTGCCTAGTGGGCCACTTTCGGTAAGCAGAACTGGCGCTGGGGGATGAACCGAACGCTGGGTTAAGGCGCCCGATGCCGACGCTCATCAGACCCCAGAAAAGGTGTTGGTTGATATAGACAGCAGGATGGTGGCCATGGAAGTCGGAATCCGCTAAGGAGAGTGTGTAACAACTCACCTGCCGAATCAACTATCCCTGAAAATGGATGGCGCTGGAGCGTCGGGCCCATACCTGGCCATCGCCGGCAGTAGAAATGGAGCATGGGATGGGGGGATGGGGGGATGGGGGGATGG